AAGTGGGACGACGCCAAATCATTTATGTGATATGGTACTTGTAAAAACTTTGGATCGTCCACGTTATGAAACACGTAACGCCAACGAATACTATGAGTCTAACTACCGACTACCTTCCACAGTCTCCGCCTGGAATGTACTAGATTCTACTTTGAGAGAAGCCGCTTCAGTATCTCAGTTAAAAAAAACTGTATAACTGTAGTAAATCAGAAGTGCCTGACATATTTAAAAATATTGGTTCACGCGTAAATCAGATAATCCACAGCAAGTTAAGACTAGGATGCAGAGATATGAACGGTCACACATTTGGAGGATCTATAAGTGATAATGCTGAATGTTTATGTGGTTTTTTTTCAATGAAAGTGCTTTACACTACCTATTTACTTGCCCAAATTATACTGAGATTAGATCTGAAAGCTATTATTATGTTAATGGACATGACCTACGAACCGTCCTGTTTGGTAACGTCAGCCTAGACAAAGGCATACTGCTGAATATCGTTGACTCTGTACATCATTTCTTTTCTTTGAGGAAACGATTTGTCTAAACATGCACTCTTATATGTATCTCACAAACAGCTGATTACCTTTGATGTACCACATGTGACTTAATATCAAGTCTATACTACTGTATAACATATATACTACTGCTGCTTGTTCGAACTTTGATTGGGAGAGATATTTATATAGGCTCTGCCTGTTTATCAGTCCCCTTTCACTGTACCAGGTGGAAATAAATATTGTTTACAACAATATATGGCGATGGCAGGAAATAGCAAAGATATAAAGTAATTCCCCGTCACGAGATAAGCAACTCACCAGTGTGTCATACTTGCAAATTCATTTCGTTTGTGACTTCTTTGTGAACTTTGTAACAGAATGTGTGGACTTTAAATGAGGTGTCTGTTATATCATCTGATTCGTCTGCTACATTTATCCTATAGTCTAATTTCTACATTAGTGTTCAGAGTGTTTTGAGAAAGAGGATTAATTGTGTGCTGTACCATGGAGTTTGCTGGAGTCTGTATTAGTGTTTGGAGGATATCGCATTCTTACTGGTCAAGCACCTTCTAATGGGATTATCCCAGTTTTGTTAGCCCCAAAAGGTAACGACACAAGCTGAAAACAGAGACACGAGCTCTTGACTGTGGATCCACGTTTTGCTTACGTGGGTCAGAGCGTGACTGCAGACTGGATGGACAGCGAAACTCGACTGTGATGAAATGCTTGACCCGGTTAGGTTCGCTGGTTATTTAGAACATGCTTTATCACAAGGAGCATTCGTTCATTCTTCAACAAACTTATGGATGCATTACCCCATGCAAGATCAGGGCGTCGATGTCAGAGGGAGTGAACACAAACTGTATTCATCACTGTGACAGAAGGGGCACCGGCACCTCGCCACGTGTGCATTCCGGCGGGGCTACGATTAAACTATTCGTGATCGGTCCTGGCGAATGAAGGGCTGACAGGTTATGGAAGGAGGGAGTGGCGATGTGTTGTATCAGACAGATACGAGGGTTGAACTAAATCTCTCTTGTCACATAGTCTTGTGGAGTGTGTTTTGTCACTCTGAATCTTATGAATAGATCTAAATAGGAAACATGTAGCGGTCTCACTGGTCTCCTTTATTTCTAGTTCAGGTGGGTAAATCAGTGGAAGGCTAATGTGATAGTTGTTGAACGACATCAGATCACCAATAGTCTTGTCACTCTGAATCATCCACCAATGTCTGTAACATTTAGACCATCATTTAGACTGCCGCGTGGGAAAGGCTTCTGGAAATTTACTAATTCACTTATGAGAAAAAAAAACTTATGTTGAATTAGTAAAATCAGTTACTAAGGAAACGATAGATAAGTATAGATGTACAGAAGGCATTGTCTCAATAAAACATCGAGAAGTGATGATATAAAGGATCAGAGGTAAAACTGTACTCGATTCATCGTATCAGAAAAAATGTGAAAAGTTAGAAAGGGACATACAACATAATTACACAAAAACGTGAGGAACTGGGTGAAACTGATGTCAATGATACCAAACTGACAACATATGTTAGTAGAAAGACTTCAAATTTGAAGCCAGGGAACTAGGGTTCGTTCAAAGGCAACAAGGATGAAACATGGCGAAAAAAAACATTTTTATATTATTTCAATTAAATCTAATATGTAGAAACTACCTCCATAACTCGTATAGAGGATATGCAAGGTTATATTATAGAACAAAATGAGGACACTTTAAATGTTTGTTTGTTGGTTGGTTTGTTGTTTAACGCCGCACTCAGCAATATCCCAGCTATATGACAGCGGTCTGTTAATAATCGAGTCTGGACCAGACAATCCAGTGATTGACATCATGGCCATCGATCTGCTTTAAATGAAGTAAAGAAGTTTCAAGGTAAACTATATTAAAAAAATGACGTCAGAACATTGAAGGCGAACGGATTGATGCTGAGGTCATCGAAGCAATTGAATGTCTGAACAATGGGACAAGTGGAATTGTTAAAGTCCTTCTGGAATGGTATTAGTAATTATCTTATATCATCTCTCAATTTTGCCTACAGAACTATCCATCTCACAAAAACGAGGACTTATTACATGCATTCCATGAAGATAATAAACCATAACACAAATTAGCGTCCAATATCATTATTCTCGGTTTCCTATAAGGTTGCCTCTTTTGCTATACCATAGAGAATAAAGTATATTTGGGATATACGTATTAACGAAGGTCAGAGGGTTTCATCCTGGGCGATACCTTGGGGTATAACAAGATATAATGATCTTATGCAATATATTATGCAAACCCTTAAAAAGTCCGTTTGCTGCAAAATCGTACCGATGAAATGCAAGTTAGATATTAATCCGAAAGCAACAATTCGTTTTAAGTGTCATGAAAGTTATTTGTTTGTCCATACCAACTCGTCACCATAAGTTCAGTTTAGAAAAAGTTGTTTAACATCCTCTCATATAATTGTTGGTGTTTTAAAGCCTGTTGTTACAAGGGGGTCTGCATTATAAACAGTCCTACATTCGCGCATGAAATTCGCCCGTGTTAGGCCAAACTACTACTGTCTTTTCTGTAATGAAATCCTGTCAAATGAAAAGTCTAAATCAGAAGCGTATCTTTCTGTCGTTGTTATGAAACGGAATATACACTGCGAATCTGTAAAAATATTCAGCTGACAGCAACAATCTGACACGTTTAGAAGACACAGTCATGCACATTGCAGTGGTTTCAAGGCGAATATTACATTACATTCTACCTACAAGGTGAGGTGAAATTTGGTTTAACGTCGCGTCCAAGATTATTGCACTTATATAGCGACGTGCATGTACGTGTGTGTGTTTGTGTGGCTGCTTGTACTAGTCCGGACTGATGCCGATTTATAGTGCTAGCACACTGAGATACCATGCCGCAGTTTAACATGTATACCCCACTCAGACACAGTATACTGACTCCGAGCCGACCAGTCCTTGCTTTAGCCCCTTAATGCCGAGCGCCAGACAGGGTAACAACAAGTACCATATTTTAACGTCTTTTGGTATGACGCGGTCGGGGATCGAACCCCGGACCTTCCGCTCTCCGGGCGGACGCTCTACCACAAGACCACGGAGGCGGTCTTCTACCTACAAACTCGCTGTCTAAAATGCAAGCATGGGAGATGAATGTCATTTAACGCAGCTGCGATCAACAAGTAGTTTTGCGTGTCGATTCCTAAATTGAAACAATTGGTTAACCCAGATAACTGTACGTAAAAGGACGAAGTGTGAAACCAACAAACAAACAACAAATGATATACAATCAACAAATATATTACAAACATGCACTAGGTTTACAAAACAATACAAATAACTGCACATCAATTACAATGGCAGTACACAATAGAGTGGCAGTACACTATAGAGTGGCAGTACACAATAGAGTGGTAGTACACAATAGAGTGGTAGTACACAATAGAGTGGTAGTACACAATAGAGTGGTAGTATACAATAGAGTGGTAGTACACAAAAGAGTGGTAGTACACAATAGAGTGGTAGTACACAATAGAGTGGTAGTACACAATAGAGTGGTAGTACACAATAGAGTGGCAGTACACAATAGAGTGGCAGTACACTATAGAGTGGCAGTACACAATAGAGTGGTAGTACACAATAGAGTGGTAGTACACAATAGAGTGGTAGTACACAATAGAGTGGTAGTACACAATAGAGTGGTAGTACACAATAGAGTGGTAGTACACAATAGAGTGGTAGTATACAATAGAGTGGTAGTACACAATAGAGTGGTAGTACACAATAGAGTGGTAGTACACAATAGAGTGGTAGTACACAATAGAGTGGTAGTACACAATAGAGTGGTAGTACACAATAGAGTGGTAGTACACAATAGAGTGGTAGTACACAATAGAGTGGTAGTACACTATTCAATGGTAATATATAATATGATGGCAGTGGACAGTATCAGATACACATACAGTGGTGATAACGAGGGTGCACGAAGGGAGATGGGGGTAACCTAGTGATTAAAGCGTTCACTCGTCATGTCGAAGACGCGGGTTCGATTCCCCACATGGGCGCAATGTGTGAAGCCAATTTCTGTGATATTGCTGCAATATAGCTAAAAGCGGCGTACAACCCTACTCACTCACTCACTCATTACACGAGGGCTACTGAGCCAATGACAAGAAGTGGGTACACATATTGTAGTTGTATTTTGATGAAATATTAGCAACTTGTAAGCTAAAAAAACTAGATTCTGAATGACCATTAAAGGTAGTGATATAGTATAGTTACATTTCTATCTGAAAATGTTCAGGTCAATTTGCCAAAAATAAATCTCATGTCATCTGAATTATACTGACAAAACATTATGTGAAAGAGCTGTCAAAAAGTTTTATGGTAGATCTGTGGAGGACATTTCCAAATTTGAAGCATCAATGACAAATATGATGCAAATCCCTACTTTGACTTGTACCCTATGTTCCCGTGTTTTTTACAGTGGGAACTAACATGCAAAACAGTGACCCAAATGGTGCGAAGGATCCTTTGAAGATAACGGAATGGTGGCAAGCCGCCTCCCTCATTAAGTGGTAGGTGGAGAGTGTGACAGTAATAGCACGTAATGGTGACAAGCCAGTGACTGTGTGTTGTTTATCTGTATGTGTACAGGGACTGGGAGAAGCCAGTGACTGTGTGTTGTTTATCTGTATGTGTACAGGGAGTGGGAGAAGCCAGTGACTGTGTGTTGTTTATCTGTATGTGTACAGGGACTGGGAGAACCCAGTGACTGTGTGTTGTGTATCTGTATGTGTACAGGGAGTGGGAGAAGCCAGTGACTGTGTGTTGTTTATCTGTATGTGTACAGGGACTGGGAGAAGCCAGTGACTGTGTGTTGTTTATCTGTATGTGTACAGGGAGTGGGAGAAGCCAGTGACTGTGTGTTGTTTATCTGTATGTGTACAGGGAGTGGGAGAAGCCAGTGACTGTGTGTTGTTTATCTGTATGTGTACAGGGACTGGGAGAAGCCAGTGACTGTGTGTTGTGTATCTGTATGTGTACAGGGAGTGGGAGAAGCCAGTGACTGTGTGTTGTTTATCTGTATGTGTACAGGGACTGGGAGAAGCCAGTGACTGTGGGTTGTTGATCTGTATGTGTACAGGGAGTGGGAGAAGCCAGTGACTGTGTGTTGTTTATCTGTATGTGTACAGTGACTGGGAGAAGCCAGTGACTGTGACTGTGTTTTATATCTGTATGTGTACAGGGACTGGGAGAAGCCAGTGACTGTGTGTTGTTCATCTGTATGTGTACAGGGACTGGGAGAAGCCAGTGATTGTGTGTTGTTTATCTGTATGTGTACAGGGACTGGGAGAAGCCAGTGACTGTGACTGTGTTTTATATCTGTATGTGTACAGGGAGTGGGAGAAGCCAGTGACTGTGTGTTGTTTATCTGTATGTGTACAGGGACTGGGAGAAGCCAGTGACTGTGTGTTGTTTATATGTATGTGTACAGGGACTTGGAGAAGCCAGTGACTGTGACTGTATTTTATATCTGTATGTGTACAGGGACTGGGAGAAGCCAGTGACTGTGTGTTGTTTATCTGTATGTGTTCAGGGACTAGGAGAAGCCAGTGACTGTGTGTTGTTTATCTGTATGTGTACAGGGAGTGGGAGAAGCCAGTGACTGTGTGTTGTTTATCTGTATGTGTACAGTGACTGGAAGAAGCCAGTGACTGTGTTGTTTATCTGTATGTGTACAGGGACTGGGAGAAGCCAGTGACTGTGTGTTGTTTATCTGTATGTGTACAGGGACTGGGAGAAGTCAGTAATTATTTGTTGTTTATCTGTATGTGTACAGGGACTGGGAGAAGCCAGTGACTGTGTGTTGTTTATCTGTATGTGTACAGGGAGTGGGAGAAGCCAGTGACTGTGTGTTGTTTATCTGTATGTGTACAGGGACTGGGAGAAGCCAGTGACTGTGTGTTGTGTATCTGTATGTGTACAGGGAGTGGGAGAAGCCAGTGACTGTGTGTTGTTTATCTGTATGTGTACAGGGACTGGGAGAAGCCAGTGACTGTGTGTTGTTTATCTGTATGTGTACAGGGACTGGGAGAAGCCAGTGACTGTGACTGTGTTTTATATCTGTATGTGTACAGGGAGTGGGAGAAGCCAGTGACTGTGTGTTGTTTATCTGTATGTGTACAGGGACTGTGAGAAGCCAGTGACTGTGTGTTGTTTATATGTATGTGTACAGGGACTGGGAGAAGCCATTGACTGTGACTGTATTTTATATCTGTATGTGTACAGGGACTGGGAGAAGCCAGTGACTGTGTGTTGTTTATCTGTATGTGTTCAGGGACTAGGAGAAGCCAGTGACTGTGTGTTGTTTATCTGTATGTGTACAGGGAGTGGGAGAAGCCAGTGACTGTGTGTTGTTTATCTGTATGTGTACAGTGACTGGAAGAAGCCAGTGACTGTGTTGTTTATCTGTATGTGTACAGGGACTAGGAGAAGCCAGTGACTGTGTGTTGTTTATCTGTATGTGTACATGGACTGGGAGAAGCCAGTGACTGTGTGTTGTTTATCTGTATGTGTACAGGGACTGGGAGAAGCCAGTGACTGTGTGTTGTTTATCTGTATGTGTACAGGGACTGGGAGAAGTCAGTGATTGTGTGTTGTTTATCTGTATGTGTACAGGGACTGGGAGAAGCCAGTGACTGTGTGTTGTTTATCTGTATGTGTACAGGGAGTGGGAGAAGCCAGTGACTGTGTGTTGTTAATCTGTATGTGTACGGCGACTGGGAGAAGCCAGTGACTGTGTGTTGTTTATCTGTATGTGTACAGGGACTGGGAGAAGCCAGTGACTGTGTGTTGTTTATCTGTATGTGTACAGGGACTGGGAGAAGCCAGTGACTGTGTGTTGTTTATCTGTATGTGTACAGGGACTGGGAGAAGCCAGTGACTGTGTGTTGTGTATCTGTATGTGTACAGGGACTGGGAGAAGCCAGTGACTGTGTGTTGTTTATCTGTATGTGTACAGGGAGTGGGAGAAGCCAGTGACTGTGTGTTGTGTATCTGTATGTGTACAGGGAGTGGGAGAAGCCAGTGACTGTGTGTTGTTTATCTGTATGTGTACAGGGACTGGGAGAAGCCAGTGACTGTGTGTTGTTGATCTGTATGTGTACAGGGAGTGGGAGAAGCCAGTGACTGTGTGTTGTTTATCTGTATGTGTACAGGGACTGGGAGAAGCCAGTGACTGTGACTGTGTTTTATATCTGTATGTGTACAGGGACTGGGAGAAGCCAGTGACTGTGTGTTGTTTATCTGTATGTGTACAGGGACTGGGAGAAGCCAGTGATTGTGTGTTGTTTATCTGTATGTGTACAGGGACTGGGAGAAGCCAGTGACTGTGACTGTGTTTTATATCTGTATGTGTACAGGGAGTGGGAGAAGCCAGTGACTGTGTGTTGTTTATCTGTATGTGTACAGGGACTGTGAGAAGCCAGTGACTGTGTGTTGTTTATATGTATGTGTACAGGGACTGGGAGAAGCCAGTGACTGTGACTGTATTTTATATCTGTATGTGTACAGGGACTGGGAGAAGCCAGTGACTGTGTGTTGTTTATCTGTATGTGTTCAGGGACTAGGAGAAGCCAGTGACTGTGTGTTGTTTATCTGTATGTGTACAGGGAGTGGGAGAAGCCAGTGACTGTGTGTTGTTTATCTGTATGTGTACAGTGACTGGAAGAAGCCAGTGACTGTGTGTTGTTTATCTGTATGTGTACAGGGACTAGGAGAAGCCAGTGACTGTGTGTTGTTTATCTGTATGTGTACAGGGACTGGGAGAAGCCAGTGACTGTGTGTTGTTTATCTGTATGTGTACAGGGACTGGGAGAAGCCAGTGACTGTGTGTTGTTTATCTGTATGTGTACAGGGAGTGGGAGAAGTCAGTGATTGTGTGTTGTTTATCTGTATGTGTACAGGGACTGGGAGAAGCCAGTGACTGTGTGTTGTTTATCTGTATGTGTACAGGGAGTGGGAGAAGCCAGTGACTGTGTGTTGTTTATCTGTATGTGTACGGCGACTGGGAGAAGCCAGTGACTGTGTGTTGTTTATCTGTATGTGTACAGGGACTGGGAGAAGCCAGTGACTGTGTGTTGTTTATCTGTATGTGTACAGGGACTGGGAGAAGCCAGTGACTGTGTGTTGTTTATCTGTATGTGTACAGGGAGTGGGAGAAGCCAGTGACTGTGTGTTGTTTATCTGTATGTGTACAGGGAGTGGGAGAAGCCAGTGACTGTGTGTTGTTTATCTGTATGTGTACAGGGACTAGGAGAAGCCATTGACTGTGTGTTGTTTATCTGTATGTGTACAGGGAGTGGGAGAAGCCAGTGATTGTGTGTTGTTTATCTGTATGTGTACAGGGACTGGGAGAAGCCAGTGACTGTGTGTTGTTTATCTGTATGTGTACAGGGACTGGGAGAAGCCAGTGACTGTGCGTTGTTTAGTTGTATGGGGCACGGGTGGCCCAGTCGTCTAAGGCGCCGCAATTCGCTGTGCAGAGTTGCGTCCCTTGGGCACGCCAGAAACCTATGATTGTGGTTTCGAATCCCGGTTCGCCACGATTATGTTTCTAGGTTTGTCAGCACCATACCCGTTCTCGTGGGTTTCACCGAAGTGGTAAACGTCTGAGACCTGCATCGCTTCGGGCTTTTCTCCCACATTAAGCTGATACGCCGTGATATAACTGTCATTCTGTTAAAAGCGGCGTCAAACCCAATTCACTCACTCACTCGCTATCTCTATGGTTACAGGGACTGGGAGAAACCGGTGGAGTACAAGTGCGGTGAGATTGTGAAGAAGGGAAACCGATATGTCTGTATGGACAGGCAGTTCGAGGTCAAGCCACCGTGCCTGGTCTATTCTTTTGGGTGAGCAAAACATTCATATCAGTCATCTGTGGCAAGTACACTTTTGTAAACTACGAAACGCTTATGGTTCCACTTAGGTAGCATAATTTAATTTTTTTAAATCAAAATCTCTTTTTTAATTATTTGTTTGGTTTTTTTCTCGCTATTACATATATCTTCGTGATTTCAATTATTTTCTCGTTACCTCAAGTTTATTCTCCTTATATATTTTCTTGTTGTTTCGAATATTTTCTTGTTATTTCAAGTTTATTTAAAAACTCGACATTTCGATGTTTTTCTTGTTGATTTGGTTATTTTCTCGTTATTTCTACTGTTTTCTCGTAATTTTAATATATCTTAACCATTCGAAATTTCGATTTTTCGAATAAACTAGAAATAACAAAACATAATCGCAATTACTGGGGAAAAATCAAAGTAATAAGAAAGAACTCAAAACTTCGAGAACATTATTCAAATTACGAAACTATAATCGGAGCAACATGAAAATATCGAAATTTCAAGAAAATATTTGAAATAACGAGAGAAAAAATCTAAATATTGTGGGAGGTTTTAAAACTTGAAATAACGAGAAAATATTATGTCAGTTTTCCACTTTGCGGCTTCATTTGCGTTGAGGTTTAAAAGTCGGGGTGGGGACGATGAAAAATGAAGCGGGTGACAAAATCATTAGGGAGTTTAAAGGGCTTTGAGCTACAAATTATAGTCTTATTTATCACAAAGCTCCGGGGGATATCCGGGAAGAACGCACAGCCAAAGGTATGCAGAAAGTGTATGTCCACATCCATCTCAGGCATGACGTACGAAGAAAAAAATCTTAAAATTCGATCTGTTTATAATAAATTATACACCACAAAACTCGGGGCGGTCGGGTAGCCTAGTGGTGAAAGCGTTCGCCCGTCACGCCGAAGACCCGGGTTCTATTCCCGACATTGGTACAATGATGTGAAGCCCATGTTAGGTTACCCCGTCGTGATAGTGCATGTATTTTCCTAAAAGCGGCGTAAGACCATACTCACTCAACCTGGTACATTCGAGTTAAAGAGCATTGTTTCAGGTTCGCCAGAGTCGAATGAGTCTAACCTCTGGATGGTGGTTGAATTGATAATGATAAATGCTCGTATGTATGCTAGCGTATGGCAACATCCTGATATGAAATTGAACGTTCTTCTGGTTCTAGAGAGCGGCGTAAAACCATACTTACTCACTCACTCACCACAAAACTCACAAATCTGTCATGGACGCCTCGAGATGATAAACGGTATCTTTTGGACGATGACATCACGACCCCTAGGTATTATCTAGTGTCAATTCTCTACTTGCTAGATCAGTTGATCGTGAAAGTTGTGCAGTTTTCCCCTTCTCTCATCTCAGTATTATCAGCTCACCGGGTCCGAAGGACCAGGGCTTGCTTATGGGATACCGTAGCGTCCGTCGTCCGTACGTCAACAATTTATTCAAACGACTTTTCTTCGGAACCACAAATTGGAAATTAACGAAATTTGACTGGAAGCCTCCCCAGGTGGTGGGGATTCAAAATTGTACAAATGGTGGGGCTGACCCCCCAGGGGCTGAGGGGCGGGGCCATATAGGTGTAATTGGGCTATATTGCTTTAAACGACTTCTTCTCTGGAACAAAGAGATAGATATCAACCATATTTGGTTGGAAGCATTCTCCGGTGGTGAGAATTCAAAATTGTACAAATAGAGGGGCTGACCCCCCAAGGGGCTGAGGGGCTGGGCGATATAGGGGTAATTTGGCGTTATTGCTTTAAGCGACTTCCTCTCTGGAACTTAGAGATAGTTATCAACCTTATTTGGTTTGGAAGCATTCTCACTGGATTCCAACTGCAGAAATGGAGGGGCTGAACCCTTTCCCCACCCCTGGGGACTAAGGGGCGGGGCTAAAAAGAGTTTATGATTTGGACACAGTTAAGATCCTCACCGTATAACCATATGTTGATTGGTTGTTTTGTTGTTGAACGCCGCCATCAACGGGATCGGGTGGTCAGGCTCGCTGACTTGATTGATGCATGTCATCGATCCCAATTGCGTGTATCGATGTTATTGATATCAATCACTGGGTTGTCTGATCCAAACTCGATTATTTACAGACCACCGTCATATAGCTGGAATGCGGCGTTAAACAACAAACAAACAAACAAACAAAGCATACGCCCGCATCCCCGCTGTCCGTATGGTACATGTATAGTGACACAATGTCTCGTGCACACACCCCATTTCACGCTGTAGGTTTGGTAGCTGTATAGTGACACAATGTCTCGTGCACACATCCCAATTCACGCTGTAAGTTTGGTAGCTGTATAGTGACACAATGTCTCGTCCACACTTCCCAATTCACGCTGTAAGTTTGGTAGCTGTATAGTGACACAATGTCTCGTCCACACATCCCAATTCACGCTGTAGGTTTGGTAGCTGTATAGTGACACAATGTCTCGTGCACACATCCCAATTCACGCTGTAAGTTTGGTAGCTGTATAGTGACACAGGGTCTCGTCCACACTTCCCAATTCACGCTGTAAGTTTGGTAGCTGTATAGTGACACAGGGTCTCGTGCACACATCCCAATTCACGCTGTAAGTTTGGTAGCTGTATAGTGACACAATGTATCGTGCACACATCCCAATTCACGCTGTAAGTTTGGTAGCTGTATAGTGCCACAATGTCTCGTCCACACATCCCAATTCACGCTGTAAGTTTGGTAGCTGTATAGTGACACAGGGTCTCGTGCACACATCCCAATTCACGCTGTAAGTTTGGTAGCTGTATAGTGACACAGGGTCTCGTGCACACATCCCAATTCACGCTGTAAGTTTGGTAGCTGTATAGTGACACAATGTCTCGTGCACACATCCCAATTCACGCTGTAAGTTTGGTAGCTGTATAGTGACACAATGTCTCGTCCGCACATCCCAATTCACGCTGTAAGTTTGGTAGCTGTATAGTGACACAGGGTCTCGTGCACACATCCCAATTCACGCTGTAAGTTTGGTAGCTGTATAGTGACACAGGGCCTCGTGCACACATCCCAATTCACGCTGTAAGTTTGGTAGCTGTATAGTGACACAATGTCTCGTCCACACATCCCAATTCACGCTGTAAGTTTGGTAGCTGTATAGTGACACAGGGTCTCGTGCACACATCCCAATTCACGCTGTAAGTTTGGTAGCTGTATAGTGACACAGGGTCTCGTCCACACATCCCAATTCACGCTGTAAGTTTGGTAGCTGTATAGTGACACAATGTCTCGTCCACACATCCCAATTCACGCTGTAAGTTTGGTAGCTGTATAGTGACACAGGGTCTCGTGCACACATCCCAATTCACGCTGTAAGTTTGGTAGCTGTATAGTGACACAGGGTCTCGTGCACACATCCCAATTCACGCTGTAAGTTTGGTAGCTGTATAGTGACACAGGGTCTCGTGCACACATCCCAATTCACGCTGTAAGTTTGGTAGCTGTATAGTGACACAGGGTCTCGTGCACACATCCCAATTCACGCTGTAAGTTTGGTAGCTGTATAGTGACACAGGGTCTCGTGCACACATCCCAATTCACGCTGTAAGTTTGGTAGCTGTATAGTGACACAGGGTCTCGTGCACACATCCCAATTCACGCTGTAAGTTTGGTAGCTGTATAGTGACACAGGGTCTCGTGCACACATCCGAGTTCACGCTGTAAGTTTGGTAGCTGTATAGTGACACAGGGTCTCGTGCACACATCCCAATTCACGCTGTAAGTTTGGTAGCTGTATAGTGACACAGGGTCTCGTCCACACATCCCAATTCACGCTGTAAGTTTGGTAGCTGTATAGTGACACAGGGTCTCGTGCACACATCCCAATTCACGCTGTAAGTTTGGTAGCTGTATAGTGACACAGGGTCTCGTGCACACATCCCAATTCACGCTGTAAGTTTGGTAGCTGTATAGTAACACAGGGTCTCGTGCACACATCCCAATTCACGCTGTAAGTTTGGTAGCTGTATAGTGACACAGGGTCTCGTCCACACATCCCAATTCACGCTGTAAGTTTGGTAGCTGTATAGTGACACAGGGTCTCGTCCACACATCCCAATTCACGCTGTAATTTGGTAGATGTATAGTGACACAGTGTCGCGTGCATTCAGCCCCGCCAGAGTATGGTATCATTGTGTTATGACACACTGTAGCTGTTCTCCGTTCATGCTCCTAATTCAGAAACACGTTACGTAGTTGCTCGACTTCTAGAAGAGCGGGCAACTGACAGAGTAACATGGCGTGTAGTGTTGTGGTGACAGCTGACTGTAATTGTACTTCGAGTTGGAGGCTGCCTGAGTTTAGATATTTCGTCAATAGAGATTGTTCAAAAATTGAAGACGAACAGGTCAATACCTGTCTGAAACTCGCCTCTTCCTTTATCCCCTTGCCTTTATCCCCTCTCCACGTGTAATGTGCCTCAAACAAGTTGACATAGGCCTTGATGTCGTCTCCACGGAGCGACCAGGGACACCGACCCCGTCCAGATCCAGCGCCACTGTGTTAGTGTGTGCTCCCTGGAAGTGTGAGTGTGAGAACCTGGTAATGCCAACATTGATGTAGTAACACAGAGAGGGACAGAATTCAGAACAACTTAAAACCACAGGAAAACTACCAGGAGCAGACTACCACCTTCAATGTACTTGTGGACACGGATACATTGGCGACATCACTTGTGGACACGGATACATTGGCGACATCACTTGTGGACACGGATACATTGGCGACATCACTTGTGGACAAGGATACATTGGCGACATCACTTGTGGACACGGATACATTGGCGACATCACTTGTGGACACGGATACATTGGCGACATCACTTGTGGACAAGGAAACATTGGCGACATCACTTGTGGACACGGATACATTGGCGACATCACTTGTGGACACGGATACATTGGCGACATCACTTGTGGACAAGGATACATTGGCGACATCACTTGTGGACACGGATACATTGGCGACATCACTTGTGGACACGGATACATTGGCGACATCACTTGTGGACACGGATACATTGGCGACATCACTTGTGGACAAGGATACATTGGCGACATCACTTGTGGACAAGGATACATTGGCGACATCACTTGTGGACAAGGATACATTGGCGACATCACTTGTGGACACGGATACATTCGCGACATCACTTGTGGACACGGATACATTGGCGACATCACTTGTGGACAAGGATACATTGGCGACATCACTTGTGGACAAGGATACATTGGCGACATCAAGACCCCTGAAAACCCGAATTAAATCACACCAAAGCTCAGTCTCCAAAGCTAACTCTAGGCTGCTCTATCGGACCAGGCCCGTGACACGCCCTGCCACAGCCTCCAATAGGACAACATTGAAGCCTTCAAAGACTTCAAAATCAGAAAACTACAAAAAGCCATCAACATCAAAAGTCTCCAACCATCAATCAAGGTTATTACATATCCCCGGCGTACCATCAACTCATCAAAGACCCCAATCAGTCATCAACCTTTTGTTTATCCCACCGGCTTCAACTTTTAACGTTTACCTTA